GCAACAACCAGAAAGCCAGGCTCAGAAATCCAGTCACACATATGCCCGATAGCCTGGCACACAGCTTTGTGTGTCCAAAATTGTACCCTCTCAGGAGCGATCAGGGAAGAAACACCCAAGTTACTAATCTCTGGCTAAATGTGGGGGGAAATGGAAATTTCTAGAACTGTGACAGAGGTTTCCAAGTCTCACACACACTGGTGAAGGGTATCTAACTGGTCAAAGGCACTTAATCACACATTTTTTTTTAAAAGATTGTATTTATTTATTCGACAGACAGAGATCACAAGTAGGCAGAGAGGCAGGCAGAGAGAGAGGAGGAAGTAGGGCCCCCCCGCCCCAGCTGAGCAGAGAGCCCGATGCTGGGCTCTATGCAGGGCTCGATCCCAGGACCCTGAGATAATGACCCGAGCTGAAGGCAGAGACTTTAACTCACTGAACTACCAAGGTGCCCCTAATCACACCTTTTGACCAATAAATGGCTTATGCTGACCCAGGGTAAACTCCTGGGGAACGAAGCTAAAAAATTAAACACAAGTAAAAAAAAAAAAAAAAATCTGAGTGGGGACCTAAGGGGCTGAACACTGGGGGAAAACAGATTGACTTCACAGAATTAGTCCAGTCAACTTAGCGTACAAACAATGACAGGAGATAAACAAATGAATAAACAAAAACAAGAGACTCAGACAGGGACGGGGAGAACCGGTTTCTAGTAGTTATTGTGTATTATCTAAAATGTCAACTTGTTAAAAGTTTTGAGATATACAATGAAAGAACATGTGATACACAGGGACAGAAAGCAGGCAACAGACAAAGTGTTTGAGGGGTCCGGAAGTGGGACGTGGTGACAAAGGCTTCCAGGTAGCTGTTTTAAATATGTTCAAAGGAAAACATGGAAAAAAACTGATATCAAACCAAGTGTGTTTTGTAATCACAACAGAGTTGAATTAGAATATGTGTAAATTAAATAACATACTCCTAAATGGCCAGCGGGCCAAAGAGGAAATCAAAGGAAAGTAGAATATACTTCCAAATGAGTAAAAACAAAAACTCCACATATTAAATTGTATGGGATGCAGCTAGAGCTGCACTCAGAGAGAAATGTATAGCTGTGAATGTATATAATAAAAAATAACATATACTTCCTATCAACAACCTAACTTCCACCTGAAAAATATAGAAGAGCAAACTAAAAGCAAAATAAGCCTAAAGAAAGAAAGGTGAAAGATTAGAACAAAAATAAATGAAATAGAGAATAGAAAAACCATAAAGAAAAATCAATGAAACCAAACACTAGGTTTTTTGAAAGGTTCAACAAAATTGATAATCTTTTTGCTAGAATGACCAAGCAAAACAGGGAGAAGACTCAAATTGCAGAAATGAGAGGGACTAAAATGTAATAATCTGAACAACATGATGCCAACAAAAACTTGGGTGAAACGGACAAAATCCTAAAAAGGTGATAGATGTGTTAATTAACTTGATTGTGGAAATCATTTTACAATGGATATATAAATTAAATGATCACATTGTACACTTAAATATATATAATTTTATTTGTCGGTTGTGCCTCAGTAAAACTGAGAAACAAGGGAAACAATTCCATTTTCAAAAGCACGAAAAAAGAATAAAATATTTAGGAATAATTTTAAGAAAGATGGCTAAAGCTTGCACATCACATTGAAAGAGATTGAAGACAGTCTAATTAAATGGAAAGTCACCATATATTTATAGGTTGAAGAATTAATATTGTGAAGATGAGAAAGTTCTCAAAACTGGTCCAGAAGGCCATGGAATCCCTATCAAAATACCAGCTGGCCTTTTTTTTTTTTTTTTTTGCATAAATTGACAAGCTGATCCTAAAATTCATATGGCAATGTGAGGGACCTTGAATAGCCAAAGCATCCTGAAAAAGAATAAAGTTGGGGGCTCACACTTCCTAGTTTCAAAACATACATACTACAAAGTTAGTTACAGTGATCTGAGCTGTGGAAATGTCATAAGGACAGATACACAGATCAATGGAATAGAGTTGAAAGTGCAGAAATTTATGGTCTATAAATTTTCAACAAAGGTGGCAAGATAATTTAATCAACAAATGGCACTGGGACAACTGGATATCCACAAGTAAAAGAATTAAGTTAGACTCCATTTCGCCCCATGCACAAAAATTACCCCAAAACTGATATTTCTAAATTTAACAGCCCAAACTGTAAAGCTGTTAAAAGAAAATATAAAAATAAACCATGACCTTTGGTTAAGCAATGGCCTCTTAGACTTGGCCGCAGAAGAAAAGAAATAGATAAATTAGACTTCATCAAAATTAAATCTTTTGTGTTTCAGAGGACCCTACCAAAAAATGAAAAGGCAACCCACAGAAGTGGAAAAATACTTGCAAATCATTTATCTGATAAGGGTCTAGTATCTGGAATGTATAGGAAACTCTTACAACTCAAAATTGAAAGACAACCCAGTTTTAAAAAGGTGAAGCCTTTGAATAGCCACCTCTCAAAGAAGTTATGCAAATGATCAATAATGACATGAAAAGATGCTCAACCCCTTGAGTCATTAGGGAAATGTATAGCAAAACCATAATGAATGGATGACTATAATAAAAAAGACAGATAATAACAAATGTTGGTGAGGATGTGGAGAAATCAGAACCCCCATACGCTGTTGGAGGCAATGTAAAATGATGTAGCACCTTTGGAAAACAGTTTGGCAGTTTTGCAAGAAGTTAAACGTTGAGTTGCTATTTGACCCAGAATTTCCACCCCTAGGCATCTGTCCAAGAGAAATGGAAATATGTATCCACCCCAAGACATGAATGTTTATAGCAGCATTGTTCATGACAGGCACAAAGTGTAAACAAGCCACATGTCTGTCAACAGATGAACAGATAAATACAATGTGACATATACATGTAATGGAATATTATTCAGCTACAAAAAGGAGTAACATAAGGATACATGTTATGAAAAAAAGGATACATGTTATAACATGGATGAACCTGAAAAATATTACGTTAACTGAACAAGACAAATAACAAAAGGCCACATACTATATGGTTCCATTTATATGACGTGTTTGGAATAGGAATATCTATGAAGACAGAAAGTGGATTAGTGGTTGCTTTGGGTGGGGTTGGGGCAGTGATCACTTAGATACCAAGTTTTTTTTTTTTTTTGTGGGGGGGTGATGAAAACATTGTGGACTTAGATTGTGGTGAACTTGATTATGAATATACTAAAACCCATTTAATTTTGCACTTTATATTGGTTAATTTCATGCTGTGTGAATTTTATCTCAATAAATACAGTTTAAGAACTAAAAAAACAATCCCTTAGGGCTGATGAGAGACAGAGAGGACATACTGGGTGGCCCCCAGGGCCCAGCTCCTCTTGATCGAGGGTCTCCTGTGTCTCTGTCTAAGCTGGAGGATGGTGGCTATGCTCTTCCCAGGCTCAAGCACTGAAATCTGGAGGGAAGAAAGGAGCTCTTGGACCTGCACTGGCCTTGCAGCCAAGACATATTTTGGTGGTGTTTCCTCAGTGCTTCCTTACTCTGGGACTTCCTTGCAGTGCAGTCGCACACAGCGTGAGGCCCCCACAGCTATGGGGACAGGCACTCACACCGACCTGGGTGATTTGTAATCTTGGCAGCTCTTTCCCCATTCTTGTTGGTTGAGTCACTGCGACAGTCCTGAGAGAAGTGCTGTTATTCCCACATTATAGGGGACTCTGAGACCAGAGGGGTGAAGAATTTTGGCCAAGGTCAATCAGCGTGTTAGGAGCAGAGCCAATGATCCAGCCCAAGGCTGTTTCTACTTCCAGTCGCTCTGTTCCACGTCTATGCAACAACATCTGCTCCACTTTCTGCTGAGAAAGGGAAAAGGAGAGGACAGGGCCAGCCCTTCTGGTCTTTGTTTCTCCATCAGGGATAAGGGTCATCACCACGTCTTTCCAGGGATAACAGTGCACAGGGATGTGACTGCAAAGTGTCTTGGGCTGAGGATCAAATGGTGACATGTGGCATTCATCTGCTCATCAGAGGATGCCACTTTTTTTTATCTGGTCTACTGACAGAACTGAGGGCTCCAGGCTGTTTAAGGATCTCATCCCAGCTTCGCTGCGGCTGCTGTGATTGGCAGCACTAGCGTGCTGGAGAGCTTTCCTTCACTAAGTTAAGGAAGATCATAACTGTCGAGCTTCTGATGTCTAGTCAGCAAACTCTTGCTTCACTGATCATGGACATCAGGAAGCCCAAATGTCTCAGGAGGGCAGGCCCATCATATCCCCTGGAATTCCCATCATGTGCCTCCCTGCTAAGACCCATCCCAAACAATGCTCTACTCTTTGGGTTTATAGAAGTGTTTATTAAACAGCTCTGATAATACAATTCTGCGTTTGCTTCTTGTGACCTGGTCATCCGTCCCCACTGGGCTGGCTTGGGTTCTGAGAACGAGCGGAAGTGTTGGGTTCCCCAGAAGCCTGCCAATCCTGTGTTGTGTGGCTGTCTGTGCCCATCACTTTCCCCTTCTGGGTGTGACAGGTGCGGGACCCCTGGCTCCTCTCCACAGGGGCTCCTTCTGTGCACAGGGGTCCTGCCTGGGACACCTAGCCCATTAGGAATTGGGTGCCATTCCTGTCTCCTAATACCCACATTCTGTGATTCAGTGTCCCCTGACTGTGGGCTGGCAGATTCTGAAGCTCTTAGTGGCAGCCGTCCGCGAGGGCTCACAAGAACATATTTACTTGTTTGTTCTCACTTGGTTTTACAGGAGAACTGGGTTACTGCGGGAAGAGAGCTGCTCACTTGGGAAATCTGTTGGGTTCAGGTAACAGAAAGATCATCTGGTTGGCCTTAGTCCCCCACGTTTGCGAAGGAACTACTAGGAGATGTTGAAAAGTGTGAACACATCTTTCTTATCTAGACCTTAAAGCATGTGCTCTAAGGGTTGCTCTGCAGAACCCTGGTGCTCACACACACACACACACACACACACACACACTCACAAGGAAACAATATAACTGTTTCTTCAGATTACTGGTTCACTGAGACTGCTTATGAATAATGTGTCTGCTCTTCCTTGTGACAATCCCATGAACCAAAAGACACCTTTTAGAAACAAATACCATTTTGCAAATCTTTGAAGGATATCTGATTGAAATTTCTTTGTTCATGCTAGGTTAACTGTCTCTTCCCTCATCCAGTGTCCCAAAACTGACCTGCCTGCCCAATTCCCTCCTATCCGCCCCCCTTTCCTTCCTCTTCCCTCCCTTCATTGAAAACAAATGTATATTTATCACCTATTCTGCCACCAGGCTGCTGAGCATGGCGTGGCAGTGTCTCTGTGACTGGTGTCTGGGGACCACTGCCTCCCCAGTACTCCCCTGCCCCCCACCCCGCACACTGTTGGCACTGGGTGCTGTGCAGGGACTGGCGCCGCTGAATCCTTGTCACCGTCCAAGACCTTTTGGTTTACGTCATCTGCTTGGAATCTCGGGAAAGTTCATGTGGTGGGAATGCCAGGAGTCCTCAGTGATGCTTCTGGAATGAACCCGGCTTTCCCTGCAGGGAGCACAGAGCGGCATTGTTTCCTGAAGGGCTCTGTATCTCCTGCTGCCCAGCACCCAGCCCCAGGACACACAGAGAAGGCGGCCCACGGCTCCCGCTCCTCCCATCCTGATGGCTGGCAGCCTTGCCTTCCTTCTATCTCTGGAGCGATTTCGCCTGGGGGTTGGGATCTAGGGCTACCTCCAACACCTGCCTTGGATCTGCTCATAACCAACACTCCCGTGGGGTTGTTCAGAGCCGGGTTGTTGCATCAGAGATGGGATGGATGATGAGTCCTTGCTGAGTGCTGGGTCCTCGTGTCTGGAGAAGAGAAGCCCACTGGCTTCTGGTGCCAAAGCAGCCTTATGTGAAGCGGGACTGATGGTCTCTTTCGGGGAAAGCACCAGAATTTCCCCACTCTGTGTCCAGGAAGGAGGAACCTGTGCTGGCTTGGGGCAGCGCGAGCTTCATTTGCGCCTTCCTCAAGGATCTGCAGGATCTGCCATACCCCTTGATGGTCCCAGAAGCCTAACTACCATGGGGAAGTCTGGTCACGCCTTGAAGCCCTGACCTGTGATGACCCCCAGCTCCTGGGGGTCTCTTAGGTATCAGGAAACTCCAGGCAGGGCCATCAATCTCCGCAGACCCCTTGCTGAGTGTCCCTCAGGCTGGAAGGAGCGACTCAGAACAGGCTGGTGTCTGCGAGAGAAGACAGGAAGATAGGGGCTTATGGGGGAGGGATGATAGGGGTGGTGTCAGAGGTGGTCTCCTCCGGCTCGCTGTCCCCATCATCCAGGTCTTCAGTGAGAGACGGGATGATTCTGACCGTACTGTCCTCAAAGTGTACCTGCTTCTTCTTGACCAGCAAGTCAGCGGGCTCCAAGGTCAGCCCCATCAGGGTGTCTGGGCACTGGAGGGCACTGGGTTTCTTGGCCCCCTTCAGGATGCTCTTCATGTGGACGAAGAGGGAGCCGGGCCCATCCTTGAAGGCCCCGTGGAAGGTGTAGGTTTGTTCGGTGTCCCCAGAGCCAGTGGTGTTCACGGCACTGCTGGAGGGGTCCGTGTACTGCTCAGGGGAGGCCAGCACCTCCGGGGAGGACTTGCTCTTCTTACGCTTGCTCAACAGGAAGTAGGCCAGGCCAGTGATGATGAGCATGGAGCCTGGAAGGAATGCGGGAGGTCAGGAGGCTGGACGTGTGCTGGGGAGGAGCCAGACAGAATGCTGTCCGAGCCCACCATTCCAGAGGGCCACCGTGGCATGCTCAGGCCCCCCAGGCTCCAGCCTGCACCCTTGACTTGTCCTCACACACTCCCTTCTGATTCAGGGCCAGGCCTGCTGTCTGGCTAAGGGATGTCCATGGGGCCAGCACTGCACTGGAACCTCCTCCTGACTGTTAGCCAGAGAGCCCTGTGCCTGAGGCCCCTGCCTGTTGATAGCCAACCCTGGGGCCACCTGCCTGTCCTCTCATCACCATCCCTAGCTTCTGTGTTAGGACCTCGTGTTGGGCCGGACCTGCAATGCCTGCGGTGGGTCTGCACTCTCTTCTGGATACTGGGCTCCAACTGCAGAACTGGGCTTCCTTTCATTCCCAGAAGTGCAGAGATGTTCCTTCCTCAGCCTTCTCAGGAAAGATGGAGGAAAGTGTAAATCCTACTGGGTGGGGCTGGCCTAGCATGGGTCCCTCTCTTGGGTGCACCCTCCCTCCCTCCCCACCCATCTCTCCCAGTCTCCAGCCTAGAGGTCTCTCCGTCTCAGGTTGAGATTGCTGCCCTGGTTCTCCTGCCTGCAGGCCTGCCCTATCCCGAGGAGGCCTCTGGGTGTCTCTCCCTCTCTAAAGAGCAGGAGGTTGTGGCTCGCCCTGGCCTCATCGTTGCTGAATCCTCTGGAGTCCACCAAGGGTTGAGCAGAGTGGCCTTGAGTTGCTAAGACAGGTACATTAAGAGAAACCACAGGAAGGAAGAGGAGGCTCTGCCTTCCAACTTTGTCTCCCTGCACACTGGGCTTCCCGGCATTTTAGGCCGGTCACGAGGAGGGACGGGTTTTCACAGCTAGGGAGTGGGGAAGAAAAGGGTACTAGCAGAAGGGCTGTGGGCAAAACCCAGGGGTGGGAGCACGGCGTGCTGGCTTCTAGCTGACTAGCACGGACTATGAGGTGGGAGGGAAGATGACGAGGCTTGGAGGGTCTACTGGGGTCCCCTCACAGCATGCCTTCCAAACCAGGCTGAGGAGTTTGGCCCGGAATGGGTAGGCACTGGGGAGACATGGGAGGGTTTGGACAGAGAAGTGACCATCTCGTACCCTCTGAAGGCCCAGACCACACGCAGGCATTGGAGGAAAGTTCTCCGTTTGTGGGTGCAGCCTCTGGGCCTACAAGAAGGGGCATTCCTACTACTTTATCAACATGAAGGATGTCTGACCCCACCTCATTCCCTTGATCTAGGCCAAAGAAGTCAGTGGGGCTAGGGGTGGGGGCCGATGTCACTGAGGTCTATGAGGGGGGATTCAGCCCCTCCTGCTCAGAATCCACCTGTGGTAGATTTCCTCCCCCCACTAACTCCTGGAGCTCCTACCTGGGATGGTCACGTGCCAGACCAGGACGGGATGGAGAAAGCAGGCCACAGACAGCAGCACGTACGCCAGGAACTTCTGGAAGCAGCCCAGCCAGCGGGCTTTCTCCCTTGCTCTGTAGGCCAGGGACTCTGGTTGACACCTGGCAGCAGGGGGGTGGGGGTGGGGGCCGAGTCCAGGATTAGCAGGAAATAGGAAACAACCCAGAAAAGCCCCAGGACATGGGAAGCTATTAGAGGCTGGGATCGAGTCCTGTTGTGCCCATGTTCTCTTTAGTGGCCTCTGGCCAAACACTCCCCAGGGGCTGGGGTCCTCATCATGGGTTCCACAGTTAGGTATCTTGCCCGAGTCCTTCAAGAGGGCCCACAATTTTTCTGAAAGGCTGTCTCGCCTGCTCTTTCTGTCAAGGGCGAAGGGAGCGCAATGATACCAGGATTCAGCAAAGGTAGTGGGAAGGAGAATAGGAGACTCAGGGGCCCTTTGAGAGGTCCTCAGTGGAGTGGAGGAGGCATGCGGTCTGGGAAACAGCTGGCTGGGACAGCTGTGTAGACTGGGCACTGCACAAGCCGCTTGTCCCCCTGAGTGAATAGGCCAGAATCCAGCTCGACCCGGCTCAGAGAGCCTCGCCTAGGCATAAGATGGCATCAGCCCCAGAGGGACCTGTTTTTAAAATGGCCCTCAGTTTACAAGGTCCCTTTATAAACAGGCCCTTTTTAAACTGGCAGAGGTCTGATGCCGAGCCCATTTCCTCAGCACTCTTGCTTCCGGGTTTCAAAGAAGGAAAGGGCTTGCCTTAGGTTCATCTCCTTCATCCTGTGAATTGGTCTGTTCAGGCTAGTCTGGGGGCAGTGGTGGGGGCTGGAGGACGACAGTCTGGTTCAGAGCAGGGCCCTCCATCTGCAAACAATAGCCGTGGCTCATTGGTGCCCTCTGGTGGACATTGTTTTGTGACCAGACCCTGGCTGGGAGAGGAGGGAGTTCAGAACAGAGTGAAATGCCCCTTTGGGTTCAGGGCTCCTCCCTCCCCTGTCCCAGAGAAGTTGCAAAGATCCCTTGACTGTGCCATTCATCAGAAAGGAAGAAGGCTTTTGTCTCAGGGCTGGTGACCTTGGGAGGCAGCCGATGGCCTTGCAAGGTGCTAGGACACCTGGATTTGAGGCCTGGCTCTTTCTCTGATTACCTAGAGACACAACTATTGAGGTTCTGAGAGCTGTGGTCCAGGGACAGCTCTTGGCCACAATGATGACAGTGTTTAGGAACTGAGCACTGTTGGATAGCAAGTATGGGCCTCTGTGACCATGTGGCTTCCCAAGGGGATCCTTAGAGCCCTTGTGCCTGGGTTCTAGCAGGAAAAAGAACCAGTTCCTGCAATCTAGCTCTGCTGCCTCCAAGACCATCCGGCCTTCCGCAGGGTCCTCCCTCTCCATGGGTGCCTGGGATGGCAGGTGCAGCTACGGGCTGTTCTTGGAGGTGGGAATGGACTCTGCCGGGGCTTCTGGGTGGGAACGGGCCCTAGGTGGATGCTTCACTCTGCTCCTCTGGTTAGGAGCAGAGAACGGGGGCCATTGAGTTCTGCAGGACTGAGCTGTGTCTGGGCAGGGGCTGGCTGTGTGGCTGGGGAGGGCAGCCATCACAGCGGCTTCAGGAGCAGGACCTCACCTGGGCTGTATGTGGGGGCACCTGGGGCTAGGAGGAGACTACTTACTGGAAGCAGATGGCCAGCAGCTGAGTCACAAAGTACGCCCCTTCACACACGGAGACGGCAGTGCCTATGAACCTGTGGTGGAGACAAGGAAGGGAGTTCTAGAGCCCTCTGATCTGCCCTTTGCTCTTCCAGAGCCTCTTTTCTTACTGCCTCTGGGGCTCCTGGCCATCTCCTGCCGACAGATTGTCCAGGAGTTTCCTGACCTAATGTGGCCCCCCAGCCAGTGTTTGCCAGGAGCTGCCTCCGTGCCAGGGCCTATGCTGGGTCAGGCCTCAGTGGACAGGTGCCAGCCAGGGCCCAAAGATGGGTGTGGGAGTGTAGGCCACTGGAGGATGCTGCCTTGACCCTGGCCCCCTGTGTGGCCACTAGCAGGCACATCCTTCTACTACTGTCACTAACATAACATTTGCTGCTTGGTTGTACGAACTTGAAGGCTGGATCTGTTCCAGATCCCTTTCCTTCTCCCTCTTTTCCCACTGTCCAAACAGTCTCTGGCCTCACCTATATGACCTGAGTATGGGTGATTCCCCCTTGGCCCCTGCACTTGTCTCCCCTTTTCTGCCTCTCTAACTCCCTGCCCTCCCTTCTCCCTCTCCTGCTCTTCCACTCGGTCCCCACTGGCTGCCCTGAGGGCTTCCTCTGAATGGAACTGTAGTCTTCCCAACCCACATTGCTTCAAAATCTCCTCGTGTTCCATGTGTGGTCCAGGGAATTTCCAATCCAAATCTTCTGGGAAATATGTGAAATCAAAGACTCCTGGGCCAGCCTCAGACTTTATATATCAGAATCTTCGGGAATGGAACTTACGTGTTTTATTGGAAAGTCCTATATAATTGAAATTTCTTAGCATGCCTTTAAAGCCTTACATAAAAATCCATAGTCCTCTGACTACAGAGGAAGTTACCAGGTGCCACAGGGACTTTGCACAAGCTAGCCCTTCTTGAAAGGACTCCTCTTTCCTCCTTTTGTCTGTCTCGTGATCTCTTGCTTCTCTGTGTTTTACTGTGTGACCTGAGCTACCAGCCTGTGAACTCTCTTTGTCACTTCCTTCCCTAATTCTTCCCTGTAGCCCAGGCCCACTCTGGGAATGGCTTATTGTTAAGAGCTCCATGGATATCACTGGAGTGAATGAATGAGTGAAAGGAGAGGCTACGCCACAGGGGAAGGTGGCTTGGGGCCAGAATTTCCTCAGGAACCTGGGCATTGCTCCTGCTACTGATCAGCTGTGTGCCTCAGGCAAGGGACTTGACCTTTCTGTGCATCAGCGTCCTCATCTGTAAACTGACAGAATTACAGTGCTTCAGCAATAAAATTGTTAAAAGGTCTCAATGAGCTGATATTTGGAAAACCCTTCAAATGGGGCACATAGTGCTCATTTTGTAAATGTTAGTTATTATCATTTTTTCGGTCTTTCTCCATAAGCATTTATGTACTTAATCCCTATTCTCTCCTACTCTCTCTGTCTCCCAGCATCTCTCTAACACTTACTCCTCAGCTTTCAAATGGAATATCCACATTTATGTAACGAGCACTATGCACCAAGCATGTTCTAAGGGCTTCACCAATATCAATTCATTTAGTCCTTCTAACAATTTTATGATTGAAGCACTGTACTAACCCTCAGCCTACAGCTAAGGGCACCGAGGCACAGAAAGGTCAAGCTCCTTGCTATGGTCACACAGCAGATTGGTAGCAGGGGCAAGATTTGAACCCAGCCCTTAGACTCCAGAGCCTGTGTTTCTAACAAGTACACTGGGGCACATAGTTTATAAAACAAGCATCACATCTTTTTCTAGATCCTGGAATGGGGCATAAGGAGGAAACTGAGGCTTGGGCTGTGGAGTGGCTCTCTAGGGGTCCTGTTTGGTGCTGTAGAAGCTGTGCCTCTTGAGGCCAGGAAGGTCTGGTCACTCAGGCAGGGCAGCGAATCCAAGCCGAGAGCCCTGCTGTGGTTAGTGGGATCCCACAAACCGAGGCCTCGGCCCTAGGGTGCCACACCAGCCACGCAGACCCTTCAGCCAGTGGTGTGGCTGGTGTTTGTGGGTGAGTGTGAGGAAGGCCGTGAGGAGGCCCCAGGAAGGAGAAAGATGGGAGCAGAAGCTGGTGTGCAGAGAAGTGGGGAAGAACAAGAAGAAAGCCCACGATAGCTCAGTGCCTGTGGGAGCCTACTCTGAGCCTTGGCCCCTGCTGGGTCCTAGAGACATGGGGGAGGGAGTGACAGTGACACAGGGGTGTGCTAGAGTCAAGGAACACCCTGAGTGTGGGGGTACACAGAGGCAGGAGTCTGAGATCTGCCGGAGAGACCGCATGTGTGCCAGGGAGAAAGAAGAGGGACGTGGGAAGAGAGAGGAGGGAGGCGGAGCATTGAGATGGCCCTTGAGGAATGGGGAGAATGAGTGCGGGAGGGACACAAGGGACGGAGGGGTGGGGCGGGCAGGCAGGCAGGCAGGGGCTCCCATCCCTGCAGCTATGGAGCACTGCACGGGGGAGAACATAAACTAACTCAGAATGGGGGCCGGAGGGACCTGAGGCTGGAAATCAAGTCTTCTAGGACTGGACCACCGAGTGACTAGAGGGGATTGGTGTCCCCTTGGGACAGGGACAGAGCAGTCAGGGAGGGGCAGGGCTCTGGGCAAAATGTAGTTTGCATTAAGTGGCTATAGACCCGACTTGTTATAGGAGGATAATCACATCTAACTCATACGTCAAGTGATGTTTGTGGGGAAGCTAGGTAGAGAGAGGAGGAGAAGACGAAGGCCAGGCTGGTTTCTGGATTCTGGGGGAACAGGCTCAGAAAGACATGGGGGGAGTTCAGAGTGAAGAGAAGTCACTTGTAGGCATCAGGGGCTCCAGGCTCAGGGCAGGCTTCTCAGGGCGGAATGCCAGGGATGAACATCAGGCTTTGGGGACATCGAGGTGGGTGGTAAGTCACCCTGGATGCTCAATGCAGTGAGCAAGGGCTTGGAGGTGAGGTGAGGCAGGGAGTCTGAGAAAGAATCAGAGATTCCTGAGGTGGAAGTTGAGTGACAAGAAATAAAACGGAGGCAAGGAGCTGGCAGAGGAATATGGCCTGGAGGCTGTGGCCGTGGCTGAAGGTTCCAGAACAGCCCTGCGTTTCTAGGTGGCGAATTTTGTGGCAAAGTGGAAATGGGCTGGGCGGGTGGAAGACGTTTGGGAGACAGTGGGGGCCGATCCACACAGCAAATCAAAGAGCCGTCCTGGGCAAGGGAAGCCCGGATGAGGGTGGGTGCAGGCGGCAGCTTGGTGAGCCCGCAGCAGAGAGCACAGGTGCCCCGTGTCCCTCGGGAGCTGGCAGACCCCCCCCTCCCCCCAGGGTGTCCTCCCTCTTCAGGCCACCACTGCACAGTGGTCTATCTCCCGTTGGCTGGCATTTGTGAAGGCGGCTGTCTGGGGAGAAAGGACAGAGGCTAGGGAACTAAATGGACCCAGGCCTGACTCTGGGCCCTGTTGCTCATGAGTTTGTTGGTGCGGGCTGAGCTGCTTACTCCCTCTAAATCTTCTAATCTGAAAACCTAGGACAGTATGCCCTTCTACAATGCTGCTGGAGTTAAAGGACACATGTAAATAAGACATTTTTCTGTGCCTGGCATATAGAAGGGCTTAAACATATAGTCTTTGGAGCTGATTCCTCTCTCTCTGAAACAAGCTTGGTTCGTGTTTGCTGAACAAAGAGATGATTGAAAAGATAGATGGCTGGAGAGATGGTAGCTGGCTGGCTGGGTCGGTAGATGGAGAGATGGATGGATGGATGGATGGATGGATGGGTGTGTAGGTAGAGGGACGGAATAATGATCTGACCAAAGCCCTGCCCAAACCAGAAGCCAAACTAGAAGTCCCCTCTAGGGCTTCCACCTGTGGGATGTGATGGAGTTAGCATGGAAAAGGGGTGTGGGCTACTCTGTGTTAGTGGGGCAGCCTTAGGGTGAGCCAGACCAGAACATGCCAGCAGGGAAGGGCACATGCACACATACTCACAGCAAATAGAAAGCCAGGCTTTTGAACTGCCCCTGGAGGAAGGTCTCAGTGCCCACGCCGATCAACACTAAGAGGGGAAGAGGAGAGGGGAGGGTGGGCCTGGGTGCTGCAGCCACACGGCGGCCCCGTGGAAGGTTCCCTGGCTGTAGAGTGAGCCTTCTCCCCGGGGACTGAGAGCCAGAGAGGCTCTTCTCCAGGCACAGGTATGGTGGCTGGGAAAACGCAAGGGAACAAGGAGCCTTCTGGATTGGTCTCTGGAAACCAGACGGGTTTCAGCAGAACCCCAGAGGTCTTTTACTCCAGCTCCCAGATCGCAGATGCCTTTCCTCCTCTGCCTACATTGGCCATGCCTCATGCCCCCAGAGACAACATATGCTCCCAGGCCTCCAGCCCCTCGGTTCCACAGAAGTCATGGCTTCAAGGGCCCTCACTGTCCTGCAGGCCATGCCCATATGTGCTGTGGGTCTGGGTTCAGTGCTTGGCCATGGGTGGGACCTTCCCAACCCCTGTTGCCCGGATCACTGTTCTAGCTGTTTCTGTGACCCCGTTTTCACTTGCTGTTTTGGTAGCTGTATGATACTTCCTGGTTCCTTGCTTTGGACCCACTGCAGCTGAGCCCCTGAGGGCTTGCTCTGACACGAGAAGCTGATTAGCTTCGTCCTTCTTCCTGCCCCTTCTTGGCTATTGGGGTTTGCACACAAGTACTCAACCTTCCATTTGTCCAGAGTGAATATTGTCTTGGACACAGCTTTCCAGACTTGCTGGCTCCAGGCTGTCTCCTCACAGGGATTCCCTTGCTCTCCCTGCTTCACTCTTTGAGCTGTGGCTCCAACCCCATCTGCTCACCGATGGAAACATTCCACAGACAGCACTGACGGGTCCTGAAACCTTCCTCCAGGGCTGCATGGCCCACTAACTAGAATTCTTTCTGGTCCTAACTGATTACACTGTATGTATCCTCCATTTCTCTCTGGGGTCAGCGGACACCCTCTCGTAGTGGCCACGTTGTGGCTTCCTCTGGTCTCCCTCCCAGAGAATCAAAGATGGCAGCGCTAGGCTGTCGTGTTTGGCTGCCTGTACATGGCCGTTCATCTCTGCTGTTCAGGAGGCTGTTTCCCTGAGTTTGATGACTCTCCTCCCTGGAAGACATCCAGTAAGCTTCCATCCCTGGTGTCCTGAGCCTTTTGTCCATATGGAAATGAGAAACCATGTGAGGACCCACACTGAGGCCACCGGCACCTCCCCCTTCACTTCTGAGAGGACTGGATTGTGGAGATACCTCAGGGAGCAGGGCACAGGGTGCTTCAGTCTAGGAAGGGAGGGGAGATGCCTAAGTATGCTTGGTGAGGGAAGGTTCCGGGGCTCCCCTGGGCTTGGTCTAGAGCCATGGAGGACACTGCCTCTGCCCTCTTCAGGTTCTAGATGTTCACGCTTGTACCAGGTGAGGGGCCGTGAGTGCTGAGCAGCCACAGACCCTTCTAGAGGGTCAGCATGACCTACAGAGCACTTAATGCTTTATACACGACAGTCACACTTGTGCTCACTCCTCCCGGCAGCCTGAGACACAGGCACATCTGTGCTTCCTATTTTACTGGGGAAAACAAGGCTCAGTCAGTCACTATGCCCCATACTTCCAAGGACACGCCAGAAAGTAAAGGACCTGCAGACCAAACTTGAGAATCTGGCTCCAGGTGGCAGACTGTTTCCTGGTTTCCACTGTCTATCTTTCTGTGTGTGTGTGAATGTGTGCACATGTGAGATGTGTGCCTATGTGCGTGGTGTGTGTGTGTGTGTGTTCTGCAGACAAATGCCCATCTATTTAGTTTTCACTAACTATCCTGTCCTGTTTTCAGCACTTAGCACTTATTAACTTTTTAAATCACCACGACAGTCCTATGTGAAAGTCTTATGTTATCCTCATTTTACGGGAGGGAAACTGAGGCACAGAGCACATAGGCAAAACCAACCTGCCAACTGGGCCATTCCAGCATTTCGGTCTCACATCTGCTGGTTAAAAGCTGAGTCACTCAGTCTCTCTGACCCTCAGATTCCACCTTGCCCCTCTTGCGCATGGTGGTTATAAGGATTCAGTTAGCTGACTAGTGCCAAGCACCTTAGAGGTGCTCAGTCCCTTGCGCGCATTCCGGGATCGGGGTCAGTTTTTGGAGATTTGCATGGCCTTGCAGTGAGTGACCAGCAGGTGGCAGGAAAGGGTCTTGGGAACTCAGCCCTTTACCCGGATTTGTTTGGCACTCTTACTCTGATGCCTTCTGATGGAAACAAAAGGTCTATAGTCAAAGGGGCATTCTAGGAATGCTGTAGGGGCAGCACTGGTTTGCAGTTAAAAAAACAAATCGATGAAACAGCAGAGAAGAGAGAGAGCTGGGCTGGAATCCCCGTTTTGTGAGTTCTTACCTTGGTAACCATGGGTAAGCACTTAGCACAGAAGGGGGCTATGGGCAATCCTTGTGAGCCGAGGCCTGGGAGTGGGTCTTGAAATATCAGCGTGCACAGGATGGGCCTTCAGTGTTTTGGGGAAGCTGAGCGACATGTTCAGATTGGCGTTTCAGAAAGCGACCTGACCTCGGGCTACAGGGTAAGAGGCTTTGGTGATATTTGGCTGAGAGGAAGCAACAGAGGGGAGGAAGTAACCATGTTCTGAGTGATCATGGCCTCCCGGTGTCCCAGCACACCAGGAGGCACTGGCTCCTTTGTTGGCCTGGCCTGAAGCAAAGTTCTGGTCATGGCTCCTGATGGTGTGCCCAGGATCTTGTTCACCTGTTTTAATACGTGGGTGCTAGTAGGCACAGGAGATCAGGAGGGGAGGTTGGTTCTGCCTGGGGGCTCCGACAAGCTCTCCAGGCACAGAGAAGGGCCAGCCTTGCCGTTGCAGCCAGCCCAGCTACCTCTCAAGGAAGTCCCAGCACGTGCGGCACTCAGCAACCCCCTCACCCCCATGCATCTTATGTAGTCTGGACCGCATCCCTCAAGGTGGGAATCCTCAACCCCATGTTATTTATGGAAACATCCCAGCAAGACTCCTGGAGGTGCAGCGCCTGGCCCAGGGCAGGCTGGTGGAAAGGGGGCAGAGGGAAGCCGGAAGAAGGACTGATTTTCAGGGTGCTCCAGGAACCCCCAGCAGAGGAGGACTGTGGTGTGAATGGTGCTGGTGGGGAGCACATTTCCTGGGGGCCTTCATGTGAATGGGGGTGTCACATGCATGAGACCCTCGTTGCCATGGGCACTGGACTGCCGTGTCCCCCAAGCCCAGCGGTGAATGGAGTTTTGTAACTCTGCCACAGAATGGCCAAAGACCGCCTCATGGCCTCAGGGAGCTTCCTGGTGCCTAAGGTGCGGGTTGTGGTGACGGCCCCTCTGCCCCACAACCTGAGGGCTCGGTGCGGGGCCCCAAGCCTGAGCAGAGTTCTCTTCTGAAGGTCAGAAGTAGCCCCAGCCCAATCTCCTTGCCCAGGGCAGTTCCACCCAGCCATCCAAGAGTCGTTCCGGTTGGCCAGGGTCCAGAGTCCCCAGTGGTCAGTCTGCACCCTCGTTTATGGCATAGCCTGTGCTCCGGGCCTGGTAAAGAACTACGGGCTGGAGCGACTGTCACGGACCCAGGAAATGAAGAGCCGTGGAGGGTGGGACAGGGCCCAGCAAACATGCTGAATGCAGGCTCCATTCTGCCTGGGAACCAGGATGGCTCCACCGAGAAGGAAGGCAAGGCGAGGTCAGGAGCCAAGGCTGCACGAACGAGAGCCCGGAGCAGCATGAACGAGAGTCTGGAGCTGCTGCCACGGTTCCGTGGGCTTCTCTGTGCAGTTCCTGTAACTCGGCAAGGTCATGGATTCTACCTGGGGCAGCAACAGTGTGACATCCCGGGCCCACACCCTCAAGTCTTTTTGCACCTTGCAACTTCCTCCTGCCCCTCTGAGGGAGCCAAGTCCACGGAGAAAGCTGCACCCCGCGTTTCTGGGGGAAACTCTATTCTCACAGTCTAGGTGCCAATAAGTACCCTGGGCATGAGGCCTGCTTCTGCGAGAACTTAATCTCCTCCCCAGCACTTATCTCCTCAAAGGCCTCCTGGGCTTCTGAACATCACACCAGCGGCCATGACTGAGGTAAAGTGAGCTAGGAATGGTCTCCTTGTGAAGGTATTCCTGCTGATCCCGGGGGCAGCAACAGTCCCAGAGACCAGACCGGTAATCTAATTGCTGGGCTCTCTGGCAGAAAATGGGAATTGGCCCCCCATGTACCTAGTACTGTTAGGTGAGAGAAATACCCCTAATTATAGCAATGCAATTTGGGGTTTCTTTGTAAGAATAGGGTGCATTAGATGGGGTTTCGTTGTTAGCATAGGGTGCATTAGATGGAAGCTGACCACAAATTCTTTGCAACTTGTCTCATTAAAAGGTGGAGTCTAATCCCCTCTCTTTGAATGGGGGCTGGCCTTAGTGACTCTCTTGCCCAATAGAATGATCCAGACTTACACTGCAGTTCACAAAGAGCTTCTGCCCAGCCCTCTTCAAATGCTGGTTCTGGGGCAGCCACTCCCTCTGTAAGAAGTCTGATGCTTCTGAGCATCCTCACCATGTGTGAGGAAGCCCAAGTGAGCCATGGAAAGAGAGAATGCTAGAGAGAGAGAAAGAGAGAAAGAGAGAGAGAGAGAGATTCATGACCAGTCCCCCGCTAGCTCAACCCTCTCCACCAGGCATAGATGTGTCAGTGAGGAAGTTTCTAGACGATATCACAGCCCCAGCAGGTGCGAAGTGGAGAAGAACTGATGAGCTAAACCAACAGTCAGAAGCAAAGCTCCAGATGTTCAGCCCTAGATGCTCCATTGCAGCCCCCCACCTGAGATCTCCGCCTTCATGCGCTGAGCCGTCTCCACTGCTTTCTGCCTGAATTCCTGAGCCACAACATTTCAAGCATAATAAAATTGATGTAGCCTTAAGTCACTAAAGTTTGAAGTAGTTTTATTCTGCAGCCACAGATAACTGAAAAGCAGCTTATCCTATCTTCTTAACTACCTGAGATTTTTGGCACAGAAGTTCCTTTGTCTGGTCTATA